TCACAAACAAGAAATGACTTTGCCTAGAAGTGAGAGGCAAACAGAGGACAATAGTATGAATTTTAAACAAGCAAAGCTAGAGAAAGAGAAGAGCTACTATGATTCATCCTCAATGCATTGAATCTTCAATAAATTGAGCATTATAAGTTTTCTTTTGAAGTGCACAGAATCCTTGCAGTCGAAGAAATCTGAGAGTAGTTGAGATAAAAGTCAAACAGCAGCAGGAATGAGTTGGATAGGGAAAGTTTTTCCCAAGGCTGTCGATGTGGTGGTGAGACGGCTAAACGCTGCTCGTTTACTGTTCAAAAAACAGGGTCTGTTCTGGGTTTTCGACGCTTTCTTTCGTTTTTTTCTCTCATGTTGAGTAAGAATAGCACCTACATTCGCTTTCAAACCCTAGCAAGGACGTGAATGATGCTCTAAACTTGTTCCACCACTGACCAAGCTCCTCCACGTTACTTGCTAAAAGGAATAAGGCATATGATTCGGTACTTGCTCAGAAATGGTGGCAGGAGTGCTATATAGAGGGAAAGCGAAGTTAAACGGCCGAAATACCGAGAAAAAACCTTTCTTTCTGCAGTTCATTTGACGAGCTTTTTTGGACGAGTTTTCCAGTTTGCGAACAACTACCTCTATAGGTACGGCTGCACGTATGTATTCAAACAATCTAGTTCCCTGCGGACGAAGGGGCGCGTTGTTCCGGCTGCGTTTTAGGAGGCGCGAAACCCATTCTCCAGGAATTGTTGAAGATGGCAAGTGACAAGGCTGCATCATTTTGTTCGCATCACTCGTTTTCAACCAAATGATCTGCATACCCGCTTCCACCGCTGGTAGTGAACGGATATGTTGCCTACTACAACCAAACTACCTGGAAGATCCCTTCGTTCGAGGCAAGCTAAAGTAGATATCCATGTAGCAACGCTTCACATTGATTGTACACTGGTGTGCAAAACTTAGGGACGAGATGGATAAAGTAACATAAAACACTAATGACTGGGTGGAAGTAAATGAAAGTGTGGGAGCATGTTGCCACTCGCCTAAGGGATATGCACAGGAAGCTAGACTTTTCTCGGTGGAAGAAGAGCTTGAATAAAGTGCCAAATATGGCCGACCGCGCAAATCGAGGCAGTCTATGGGTATGAAAAAATTTTTTCTCAATCAACGAGTAGCTGCAAAGAACTGTGGTAGTATCCTTCGATACATCATGTCCCGAAGAGAGCATCTGGATGACTTCACTCGAGGAAGGATCATAGGGAAACTCGAAGAAGGTCGAACCATGACGAGTGTAGCCCAGGAGTTCGGTATCGCTCACAGCGTTGTTTCACGTGCATGGAGAGCGTTCCGAACCTTTGGTACTGCTGCCCGAAGACGAGGAGGTGGCCGACCAAGGACAACTACACCAAGGGACGACCGCTACATTGTGCAGCAGGCAAGAAGAGATCCTCGTCAGTCGGCTTCGGCTATTGCAACGACGTTTAACAGGACTCTAGGGCAAGCCATCTCACGCACTACAGTGGCAAGACGACTGCATGGTGGTGGTCTCTTCGCCGTTACGTTGTGTTCCTTTGACCCCCGCGCATCGGCGAGACCGTTTACGGTGGTGCCAGGAGCATGGCGAATGGACCGATGAGGAATGGAGCCGTGTGCTCTTTTCGGATGAGAGCAGGTTCAGTCTGAGCAGTGATTCTGGACGCACCCTCATATGGCGAGAGGTGGGAACACGCAACTCCCCGGAAACATTGTCGAACGTGATCGTACTGGTGGTCGAGGTGTTATGGTATGGGGAGGCATCATGTTGCATGGCCGTACTGACCTCCAGATTTTTGAGCATGGAACCCTCACCAGTCAGCGTTACTGCGACGAGGTTCTCCTACATCATGTCCGTCTTTTCAGAGCTGCAATCGGCCCTTCATTTTCATGGATGACAATGCGCGACCGCATCGAACAGCCAGGTGGAGGAGCTTCTAGAACGAGAGGATATCCGGCGAATGGAGTGGCCCGCCCGTTCCCCCGACCTAAATCCCATCGAGCACGTGTGGGATGCACTGGGTAGACGCATTGCAGCACGACCAAATGCACCAATGACGATCCAGCAATTGTCAAATGCACTGATTGAGGAGTGGAATGCCCTGCCCCAGGAACTCATTACCAACCTCGTGGAGAGTATGGGATCGCGGTGCAGAGCATGTATTGCTGTCCGTGGTGATCACACACCCTATTAGGATCCGTGTAGTACCAGGATAAATCGTGAAGACTTATGTGTAATCGACATGGTTGAATAAAAATGTCATAACAATTCGTCTTATTCCGAGTTTCTGTCAGTTGCTTTCTGTACAATATCGTTAAGGTCTCTTGATATGATATGAATTTCATCGAGCTATGTTGTCTGGCAGAGGCACAGTGATCGAAAGTTGCTTTCGTCCCTAAGTTTTGCACACCAGTGTACTTCATGAATAAAGCGGTAAGAACACCAGCATCGACGGGACTGTGCGGACAGTTGTGAGCGGGCGGGTGGGTCGGCAAGTACCAGGATGGTGACACGTAATAAGGGTTTTTCGTTGAAGACGCCCAGCAGCGCCTGCCCAGGAGCACCGGATTCTGTCCTGCTAGCAATATTTATCCAACACGCCTTATGGATTTATCGTGCCACTTGCCTTTAGAGACTCAGTCCAGTTGTAGGTGGTGCTACCGAAGCTGAAGTCCTGAGTCAGGCGCCCCTCTCGAGCTGACTTTCAGATATTCAGCAATGGGGGTGTTGGAGAGGAACTATACAACATGATATTTATAATTACTCTGGGAGTACAACGTCTTGCACCTCCTACCGTAATATAGAATTGCACCCTTCCAGAAGCTCTACGTATACTTCGATACATGTCTCTTAAGGGTTTTGAACCCTAATAGCGAATAATCTACTAGTCAATTTAGTGAGAAGACTCGTAATCGTAGTGACGTTCTGAATGAAGTAATGGACTGATACTGTGCAAGTAACTGTTTGAGGGCTCAATGTAGAATTTTCAAATGTTCCCTGGGTGAGGTGCTCCGTAACGAAGGCTTTTCTTTTGTTCTTCCTCAATGAACATCTTGTAACGCTAATCACCCTTTACAACACTTTGTGTCATCACTGAATATCAGGATAACAGTGTCCTTTTAGTGATTATTTCCCATTTTATTTTTCTCAGTTCCAACCGGAATCGAATTTCACGGATGTGGAGTTCAAGCGATTCGACAGCAATCCTCGTGGCTCATCTTTGCTTCGTAAATTCCAACCCGGTGTGAGGCGGACGTGTAAAACCCTTCCAATACCATTCCAGTATTGCATATGTCAGTACGGGAAGAAAATAATCACGTACGTTGTTTCTTCCTTCTACGCTTCTAACCAAATTTCAGTGCCAACCGTGACAGCGCGAGTGCAGAGTTCATTTATGAGTAATTATCGAAAGGTGCAAAATTCATTACAGTCTCGCATTGCATTCCCAGAACACCTTGTCGATCCCAGTCCCAGTAAAATAGTGTAGATGACTCTCTCTAACGCTACCGATTGTCCTCGTTGAAGAAGTAGTCATTTGGCATGGAATATGCTCAGCACTACTGGCTTAGCCCTGAGTAAAGTTATCATTATGAAGGCCCTAAATCATTTCTTCACTCAGTCAAATTAATCTACGGGAAAATCGAAATGCTTCGTTTAGTGCTTTGAACGTTCAGTTTTCGATGGAGAACTTCATCCCTTACGAAGGAATATGTCCGGTTCTTATGCTGCCTCGAAGGCACGCTACGCGATCGCTCGATGCGCATACGCCTCCTGCGGGCATGGTACTTTTGTACGCAATCATGGAAAATGTGCTACCTTTGCTACTGAAAAATACGTGAGAAAAGCTCAAACACGACGAGGCCACGACTCCGCCCGCTAGCCTTTACAACGCCCAAATTTTTTTTCATGGCTACTTGAGGCGGTTGATGTTCCATGACTATTTTTCTTCATTTCAAATGGAGAAGGAGAGGAGATGCAGGTGTTAAGGTGAAAGAGCAACCCCAGCAAGAAAGAACTCGTCCGATCATGCCGTTCTTTGTCTTGTGCACGAACATGGGACGCTTAGCATGGGGTTCTACATGAGGCATTTCGGGCTGGTTTTTTTTTGTTTCGTTTTTGTTTCTTGTCATTAGTAGTATCTAAAGCCCACCGACTATTATTTTCAAACCCTATATGGCCTTTCAATACTTTCAATTTTTAAGTCGCAAGGTGGGTGTCAAGACGAGGCACATTGTTTTGCCTTCAATCGAGGGCTGCAATAACTGTTAGAAGAAGACTCAATGTGCGAGGTTACGAAGAAGGGCTGAAAACTGGTTGAAAGGAATATTACGGCCCTGCAGACATGCGTCGCACAGGGCCTGTTGTCGAGAAGTGTGTGCATGCAAAAACTGAGTTTCTGGATTTTCTTTTCCCTGAGGAGGTGACGATCACTGTTCCTGTGGGAGCGTTCTACAACCCACCACTCCTCTCTTCCTTGAATGTGAACCTTATGGTGAACCTTATGGCCGATATGGTCGCCGCAATTGATCACGGCTGATTTCCTATTGAGAACCATGTCTCTGCCTGTGTTTTTTGGTAGGTCTTCTGTTATTATGGATGAGTAGGGCGGCGGGCGTGGTCAATGAAGATGGGATGGGCCAAGGAACGGAGGCTACCTGCTCTACCTGCTCAGAAAGGGAGAGATGATATTAAACTGATCGCGGGCATTGCCCTTGAAGTCAGAATTTGCAGAGTAGACGTTGAAAGATCGGAATTTCGTTCTTACTTTTTGCGCTTCGCCATACAAGGTATCCTATCGCGGTCTATTGCTTAGTCGTGTTTAGCCTTTTGCAGGTTTGAGTCCGGTCTTTTCACTTCATATGAGAACACTTCAAAAGGTACTGGGTATCGGTCTAGACATGGCAATGAGCTGACACTGTGAGAGGGAGCGTGAAAATTTTCGATTACAAGTTTTATATAGGGCAGCTTGATTATGGTTGGACCTAGAGGATGTGAGCATTTATTTTTTGACGGTGAGGGCAGCAAGGGTCATTCACTGCCCTGATCGCGATTCTGACATTTGGTGTGAAACTGGTGAAGTATAGTCTATCATCTCACTAGTGAAACGCAAAAAGCAGAGAAAAAAGGCGTCAGTAGTTTTGATCTCCCGACGTGGACTCTTGCAGAGCATATCCGGATCTTAAATCGATCGCGCGTACGGGAATGCTCTGAACTTCGTGAAAGTAGATTTGAGGGCGCGTAGTCAGGAATGACGTCTAATGGTACATGTCTCATTGGAAATGGCGCATTGAAATGTAAAGCTTCCCTGGTGGAATGTTTATGGCTGTATTTAATGAGCGCTGTACAAGCAGTACAATCTTGTTTCAACTTTGAACAAAGCATAAATCATGGCCTGGCAAGGACTAAATATGAAGTCTCTGTTTTGCCTTCTATAACTTCTTATTTCAGTGGAAACAGAAAGGTTTTATTTCAGTGAAAACGAAAAGGTTGTAGCCCTCGGTAAATTTGCAGCAGCAGGAATAGCATCCATTTTGGAGTCGTACAATGTTACCTCCGAATGTGAAAAAATTACCATGTACAAAGTAAGAGAGTTGCTATTCAACATTCAGCTTATGTTTGCAAATGTTCTTAATATTCACTCGACGATCCTTGAACAGTGAAACTTCGAAATCCTACTGCAGGTATTCATTGTTCAAGAATACAAACTCGACAACATTCGTGACATCGGACATCATTTCTACGAAATAATTTTCAGCCTAGCTTTACCGGCATACGGCAAGTTTAAAGTGTGGTTTTGAAATGATATTCTCCTTGTTGACTCTTACTGGCTTACTTCGAGCTCGTAGAAGCTTTGTTAAGACTCAAATTCGTGAAGACCAGCACGGAAAGTTTGAGCTGGCAGGTGATTACTATGATCGTCTCGACAAGTATGGTGACAAAGGGGATTGCATGAAAAGTTCTCAATTGAAAAAATTCTGTACATGTAAGACACCCACCACAACGACCGCAGAATCGACTTCATCGTTGCCGATATTCTCTCGATCTCTACCTCGTGAAACCTCGCAGTCTCAACTTGTCAACAAAACAGAGAGTCTGTCCTCTCAACTTCACCCTAGTAAAACCTCGCAACCTACATTTGTAAACAGAACAGAACCCTTCCCACCTCATCCTAGTAAAACCTCGACTCATCCTCGTGAAACATCGGAATTTGAATTTGTCAACAAAACAAAGGGGTTATCCTCTCAACCTTATCCTAGTAAAACCTCGCTTCTCCCTGGTAAAGACTCGGAATCTACATTCGGCAACAATACTAACAGCCATCCTAAGAGGTCGACCAGTCCTCATCGCTGAAGACTGAAAACCTGCACTTTGTTTCCGTGGAATTAATTGCATGAAGACGCTTATTACTGCAATATACAAAGGTTTCTACTTCAAACTCTCCTTAAATCTTCTTCCACAGTAGACTCTAAGAAGGTATGCATTGCTATAAATTATGCCTCTTTGTTTGACAATGTCTTTTCGTTATTTTGCTTCTCTCAATCCGTGCATGCCAACTTTTTTGTTTATGTTGTCGTTACTTATGTGTGAATCGTTGTTACTTGTTACTGAAAGTTGCTATTCTTGTCTTGAATATCAGAGAATAAATGCTTTGCATACGGTATCAGTAGAAATTTCTCAGCCGTCGGCTAATGCCGTTTGGACTCCAAGAACTTCCGCACCGGGCGGAAAATAAATTGTGGGGGACGTGGTCACGTACCATGCCTTCCATCTCACGCGCAACACTTGAAAATTCGCTCAGTGGTGCCCGGAGATGTTGGGGAAGTTAGGGCTTTATCGTTTACACTCGCCGCTGAATCTACAACGGGAAAATTCGGGGATGAGTTTCCCGCGACATTTAGTCAATTTACCCCGTGAGCAACCAAATCTGCCTTCGCAAAAAGGTAGAAAACCGACCTGATATCGGAGGACTGGGGTAGGAACAGTATTGTAATCTGCATCTATTAAATCTTAATGTTACATAGTAATAGCATCTGGTGCTATCACTATGTAACATTTTCATTGGTTGTTTGGTCCTGTGTATACTGAATCGATCCCCAAGCCTAACGTTGTCTTTTGCGTTTGCTCTGTTACGCCCGTCGGCTACATGAGGAAAGGGGGTCACGCGCATAACAAATACCCAGTGGGATGCATTGGGATAAGATCTAAATACAATACAGACAGTTAGTTGGATGAAAAATTTTTTATTGCGTATCACTTCTATAAAACAAGAATTCGCTCGACAGGAAATTACATATGAAGACGTATGTATGAAAACGACTGGAATCGGAATATTGTCAATTACAGTAGATAAAATCACAATCCTAAGACTGCTGACTTGGTAGGATAGGAAAGATCAGGTGCTCCTGAGCCATCATACTGTATTTCGTCACATAGGTGGCGAATCTGAAATGTATTCCTCTTAGTTTTCCTTCCCCATAACAACCTCATTTCTGCTGTGAGCTGCTTCATCTATTCACCTATTTCATTTAAAGACACATTTTCAATACAATTCCACCGTACCTGTCTATATGGTGCTGGCTTGTCGTTCTCCAAATTCTTCAGTACACCAGAAGCATAAGTAGCAACGGATTTGTGTTCCGATCGCATGGCCTCGACCAAGATCGGTGTGACGCCTTAAGGGCAAGTTACTACCTCCGAAAAGCTCTCAATTACGAGAAATCTAATAAATTCATACCAGCTTCTTCAACTGTGCGCGCTCCTTCGGGAGTCTTACTAAGCTGGTAGAAAAGGGGGAGCAATTCACGCTCAAGCAATTCGTCTTCAGCACCAGAAACCTTAAAACCATCAATGCTTAACCTGAAGCTCCTGGGTAAATGAGCACGTAGCCTTCCAACTCACATCGCTTCTGGAGAGAAACTCGACTATAAGGGTCAAGAAAGCCGGATCCTCGCACAGATGAGCTGCCACTGCTGGATGCGATGCCAGTTGGTGCAAGGCGGATACGGCACCTGTAGTTAAGTAAATGCAACCCCTCAAAATGGAGTAAGAGAATTCTCGAACTAACCTTCAACTACACCCCATATTGGCACTCCATCACTTTCTGCAGCCGGATCTTCACGAATTGTGGCGGTGTTATATCCATATCCTAAACATGAAGTCACTTCTATTTTGCCGAGGAAGAAGCAGACGAGACGATGAGTCATCACTCGCCGCGAGCCGCGTGGCTCCTCCAAAATACGTTAGCACCGAAGTTTTCAAGTCACAGACAGTACAGTCACAAATCTAGCAAGAAGAGACTTACCTCATCATGTTAGAACAGCTGAGTGTACCGCAGCTTCGCTCGCTGCGGAATCGTCCACTTGCCGCATTGCTTACCCTGTGTCACGTTGAGCTCACCATTCATATCCAAAGTCTGCAACACCCTTCTAGCCATCTCTGCAAGGGAGGCGCGTGACAACCTGAAAAAAGCCTATCAGCCTAAAAAAATTAAGAAACAGGAGGAAGATGGAAAACAAACATGCGTAAACAGAGCAAAACACACGTAAACATGACAAACAATCAAGAACGGGGCAGTACGGAACAATTGCGAACAAAGAAAAACAATTATTGGAAAAGGAATACATAAGGCCCGCGTTCATACATGACGACGTTGCAGAAAGGAATGTATACGTATCGATTTGAAAACCGCATTTCTGCAAATTCCGCGGAATTTGCAGAAATGCCGAAATGACGGACAAGTGACTTGATAGGGATTGATCGTTTAGCCTCACCAGCGGAATTTCTGCATTTCGGCATTTCTGCACATTCCGCACTTCTGCATTTTCCGCGGTTTTTGAAATCGATAGACATATTTTCTTCTTCTGCAAGTTCCGCGGTTCTGCACATTTCGTGGTGGCACTTCTGCATCATGTATGAACGCGGACTAATAAATACAAAACAAAGAAAAAAGAGAAAACAAAACGATTGAGGACCAGGCAGGACGGCGCCAGAGCTGCGCGTGAGATGGAAGGCATGGTACGTGACCACGTCCCCCACAATTTATTTTCCGCCTGGTGCGGAAGTTCTTGGAGTCCAAACGGCATCAGCCTCAGCCGTCTCCATCTCTGACTGGGCTGATCGATGCTCGCCGTAGACCGAAATTCAAATTTTTCTTGCGAGTGAATCCAACAGCTCGATTCGGCCGTTTACGATGAGGCCCATGCCAATGTAGCATCTTGAGACGCTCAGTTCAAATTTGCTCTCCAACTGAAGCGAGTTATAAAATTTTTCACTTTCCGCTTTTTCTCCTCTCCTTACAGCGGTCTTTCTCGGAAGGCGTCTAGTCCACAGAGGCGGCTGAAATTTCATAATTATGGCTAATGATGAACGAATATTGATTCAGTAATCAACAGCAATATCGAAATGTCTTTTCATTCTGGTATCTATGGAACAGAGGTAAAACAATTCCACATAGTTATTTGCTGTTGGCTCTTACCTGACCTCAGTGGCCATTATCACCAATGGTGAACAGCGAGTTTTGTGTAGGAAACAGCCTCGATATGGAGTTCATTGAATCGTTTTTCGTTGCAAGGCCCTTACTTTGCCACGATCTCCTATTTTGCGCAGTTTACGCAGTCGCTGGCATGTGTTAATCCTTTGCAATATTACTCTGATGAACAAAGATAATTCAACCGTGAGAGCAGTCTTCGTTTACAGTCTAGACTACTGGTGAAGGTGACCTTCGTTGATCAGCGGTGATTCTTGTTTCAGTGGCGGTTCGTCAAAAGCTAGCTGATACGAATGATACCAGTAGAGTAACGATGACAAAGGATTACAATGATAAATACAAACGAATATGTTGGGTCAGGAGGGGCATGCGGCAGGATAGTCACGACAGGAATTTGCACAGAATCCTTATGCATCAGCGCACCCTTAGGCAGCATTCAAACTTCGCGCCGGCGGCTTTTCGGTCGCATGTACGACGAGAATGCTCGTATGACGCAATCGGTCATATGAGCAGTGGCGTCTTACATGATTCAGTCGCGCTCCGACGCTGGAATTGAATGGACCACCATAACGGCGTGGATTCCTAGCGGTACACTAATCCGCACCTCACCCAACAGAGTTTAGGGAAATTGACAAACACGCAAGTGATATGGTTCTATGTCGACTCTTTCGAGCTTCTTCTCAATCCGTCGACGACTTGTCCCTATATGTGCTGGGTGCTGGGGGAGCAAAATGCTTGCTAGATTTTGTATGAAGACAAAAGCATATTAAACCGTCGACGCCCTACCAGAGAACCTTGTCCCGTCTGAGCACTATAAGTGTAGCAGAGGAGAGACCCTGGTATGGCTAGGGAATATACAAATGTTTGACAAACCATCCTGAAGCGGTTGGAAAGGAGTTGTCAAAGGTATTCACCTCACGGAGTGAAGCCGGGTTATCGTCATTGAACCGCGGCGCTTTTATCAAACACTTTCAATATGAAATGTGTTCTGCTTTTGTAGAATGCGCCATTCTGTGTTGAGTGATCATGCGTTACATTTGAGGCGAAGGATGATGACTGAGAACTCATAAGTTGACTCCAACAAAATGAGTTTGGCCGCAAAGTAGCTGAGCGTTGTATGCACTACTTTTCCATCGGACTTCACAATCTGCAATACTTTCTGACTTCTCTTGATTCCAACTTCTTATTGGCAAGTGTTCATGCGCTATACTCCCTTGACTGATTGCCTTACATGAATTCAGAAACAGACGCTCTCTTAAAAACTTTGCTGAAGTCGGCTTGTGGTTTACCGCGCCGACGTGATCTATGGATTGTAAGGTGTTATCCTGTAACATTTCGTTACTCGCACAGACAACAATGTCATTACGCGTTTTTCGAAAAATTCTTTTAGTAAATCCATAGCTTTCGCAACACTAGCCTATTATTTTACGGTGCGAACACAACACCTTATGCTCAGCCTACGTTTGAGAAAGATGATGGCGCTATTGTCAGCATGAGGCTAAAGGCGCATGCTTATCCTCCACGAGAATGATACGATTCACTTTATCGGTGACACGTCAGCAGTTCAGGTTTTGTCACGCAACTGCCTCCGATCTGCAGCATCAGATTATTTCGATAACCCGGTTCTCGAGAGCGGACGCTTCATGGAAGTATTTGCGACACAAAAGCAATTTGAATGTGTGAGTTCTACTTTGAAAAGCAGCAGGAGTGATATTGCCAATTGAAGCGTGCAGCGTTTCATCTCATTGCCCTAATGACACATTCACACGATTCACCGATTTCTAGCGAACCTTTTTCTTCCAAATTTCTATGATTAATGATCGTTGAATTAGTTGCAAGGTCGATGCTTCAAATGTGCAAAAGA